ATACGCGACCTCGCCTACTCGTTCGAGAACCTCGAACGGACCGATGAATGGAGGGTGAAGCTTCCCCCGTTTTCCGAATCGCACAACTCCGCGAATCGGACGAACTCTGAGAAAGGCTGGCTCGCCAACCTCGAACTGAATGTCTCGCCGATGATGATCGGCGGAAGATTTCTGACGACTCTGAGCTGTCCTGAGTCTCTGCCGGATCAACTCGACCTGATCTGCTGTCTCCTCGATAAACTGGGGAACGAGTACTCGTCGCTCTCCGACGTCGTCCCAATAGAGAGGGGAACGACACTTGCGACCGTAAAGTGCTTCGTAAGGAGCCATCTGAATGGAAGAATGATAGCTGTTGTTGTACGCGAGCTCTGCGTACGGCAACAACGGCTCCCACTTGGCACCCCTGTCGACAACCAAAGCGCGAAGCATATCCTCAAGCGTCTGAATAGTCCTCTCTGACTGACCGTCTGTCTCTGGATGGTAGGCTGAACTGAACTCAAGCTTCGTGCCCATCGCCTCATGCAAGCTGTGCCAGAATCGACTGACGAATCTGGGATCTCTGTCTGATACAATCGTAACGGGCACTCCGTGGAGTCGAAAGATCCCACGGGCATATATCTCAGCCAACTTATCCATGGACATCCTCATCGAAACGGGCAAGAAATGCGCAACTTTAGTCAATCTTTCGACCACGACCCAAATAGCGTCGTGATGTTCAGACGACCTCGGCAATCCCGTAACGAAGTCCATCGTGAGTTCCTCCCACTTCCGTTTCGGAATCGGCAGTGGCTGCAGGAGGCCAATCGGACTCTGATGCTCGGCTTTAACTTGCTGACAGGTTAAACATCTCTTGACAAATTCGGCGACGTCCTTCTTCATGCCTCGCCACCAAAACGACCCCTTCAGGTCGTGATACATCTTCGTGCTCCCGGGGTGGGCTAGGTAGGGTGCGGTATGGGCCTCTGATAAAATCTCCTTCCGCAACGCCTCAACTTTCGGGACCACGATCCTGCCTCTGAACTCTAGGGCACCATCGGCACCTAGCTGGAAACCCTCGACGCCTCCGGCACGAATCTTGGCCTCCATGACACGAACGAACTCGTCAGAGGCCTGCTCTCGCTGGATTCTCTCTCTCAGCGTCGACTGAAGCTGCATAGCACTGATACTGGCACTGGTACTCCCCGAAACTGCCATGGGAAGTGCATCGATTGCCTGAAGCTGCATCCGGGCAAACTCCTGAATAAAAGGACTCTGCTGAGTAATGACGTACGTCAAATCACCCCTTACCTGACGGCTTAGGGCATCTGCAACGACGTTCGCCTTCCCCGGATGGTACTGAATAGAGCAGTCGTAATCCTTGACGAGCTCTAACCAACGGCGCTGTCTCATATTGAGCTCCTTCTGAGTAAAGATATACTGCAGGCTCTTATGGTCTGTGAAAATCTTACAGTGACCGCCGTAAAGGTAGTGCCGCCAGATCTTGAGCGCATGAACGACTGCTGCTAACTCTAGGTCGTGCGTCGGATAATTCTGCTCATGCGGTTTAAGCAGACGGGACGCATACGCAACGACCTGGCCGTCCTGCATAAGGACACATCCCAAGCCCTGCTTCGAAGCATCACTGAAAATGGTGAAACTCCGAGAAGGGTCGGGAATAGTCAACACTGGTGCTGAAGTTAATCTCCTCTTGAGCTCCTGAAAGCTCGACTCACATCTGTCAGTCCACTCGAACTTCACAGACTTCCTCGTCAGCTGGGATAGAGGGAGGGCAATCTTGGAAAAGCCCTCGATGAACCTGCGATAGTATCCAGCTAGACCGAGAAAACTGCGAACCTCAGACGGACTCCTCGGTGCTGACCAATTCTGAACGGCTGAAACCTTAGAAGGATCCACCTCGATACCTGCCTGAGTAATCACATGACCCAGAAAGGATACTCGCTGGAGCCAGAACTCGCATTTGGAGAATTTTGCAAACAACTTTTCTCGTCTGAGGGTTTCAAGAACCACCCTTAGATGCTCCTCGTGTTCCTTCTGGCTCTTCGAGGAGACAAGAATATCGTCAATAAAGACAATAACAAACTGATCGAGGTAGGAATGAAAGATACGGTTCATGAGGTCCATGAAAACTGCTGGCGCATTGTTGAGACCGAATGGCATGACGACGAACTCGTAATGGCCGTAACGAGTCCTGAAAGCGGTCTTAGCGATATCTGACTCCTTGATCTTCAGCTGGTGATAGCCTGATCGAAGATCAATCTTCGAGAACACACAGGCTCCCCTCAGCTGATCAAATAAGTCGTCGATCCTGGGAAGCGGGTACTTGTTCTTGATCGTCAACCGGTTAAGATCCCGGTAGTCGATACACATTCGCATGGATCCGTCCTTCTTCTTAACAAAGAGAACGGGTGCTCCCCAAGGCGACACACTCGGTCGGATGAAACCGAGTCGCAACAACTCCTGAATCTGCGCCTTAAGCTCCTGCAACTCCTTAGGCGCCATACGGTACGGGGCTTTGGATATCGGACCGGCCCCTGGAATAAGGTCGATGGAAAACTCTACCTGCCGATTAGGCGGTCCTCCTGGAAGCTCGTCTGGGAATACGTCCACAAACTCTCGAACGACTGGAACATCGTGAGGTGAACGCGCTGCTTGGGAATCATCAACAAGGCTCACCAGATAACCCTGGTGGTTGCCTCGTCGCAGCAACTTAGTGGCTTTCGCCATGGAAACAACATGAGGCAAAGAACGGTTTCTGGAGCTGAAGAAAGTAATCGGCTCGTCTCTCGGAAGATAAAGAGTAATCTCCCGGTCATGACACTTGATATCCGCATGATAAAAGGATAGCCAATCCATTCCGAGAATAAGGTCGAAGTCCTTCATCTCGAGAACAAATGCGTCGGTAGGCAAAACTCGGCCACCGATGGAAAGGCTAAGATCTGAGGCTTTAGCTGAAGTCACTATCTTTCTTCCCGAGGCCAAACTCACCTCGAGAGGATCGATAGCGGAAGTAGCGCGAACTCCGATGGCATCAAGACATCGTCGTGAAATGAAAGTATGCGACGCTCCAGTATCAAACAAAGCAAATACAGGAACATTATTAAGAATAACCATTCCGGACATGGTACCTGGCTGCTGCTCGGACTCTGCCTGATCGATGGCATAAACTCTGGCCTGCTGCCTGCCCCTCTGCTGCTGCTGCTGGGGATGCCTCTGTGCCTGCTGACGGGGCTGCTGCTGCTGCGGTGGCTGCTGAGGCTGCTGAGCCTGCTGAGGCTGCTGCCCCTTCTTCGGACAACGGTTCGCAAAGTGTCCGGCCTCGTGACAATAGTAGCACACATCCTGACCAAAGCGACACTCGCCTCGGTGATGTCGTCCACATGTCGGGCACTGTGGAACCTGCTGCAGCTTCTGTCGAGCCCTCTTATCTGTCTGGGCACCCTTGTCCTTCCTCTTGTTGTTCTTGGGCGGCTGGGTAGATGGCAAAGCTGACATCGGTGGAACTGAGGATGACTGACCACGAACGGCCTCCCTCCTAAGGCTAGCATCCACCTCCTGAGCAATGGAGACTGCACGAGCATACGTCTGGGTCCCGTGGCCTACGATGTTATGACGGACTGCTGGGTATAGCCCGTCAATGAAACGCTGCGCTCGCTGGGCCTCCGTGCGGACCAGATCAGGTACAAAAGCTGCAAGTCTCGTGAACTCTCTCTCGTACTCGTCGGCAGTACGAGTACCCTGCCAGAGCGATAGAAACTGACGCTCCATCTCTGCTCGGTAGTAGGTGGGATAGTACTTCTCACGGATCAAGTCCTTGAGCATCTCCCACGTACATCCCGCCTTCTCACCGGGACGCATGCCCCAGTAAGCGTTCCACCAGAGCCTGGCATCACCGGTGAACTGAAGCTGAGCGCAAATGACGCGATATCTCTAAGGGCACTCCATGACCTCGAAGATAAACTCCAGGCCCTGAATCCACTCGTCAACTATGCGAGGGTCTCCCTGCCCTGAGAACTTCTCGGCGTGATAGTCGCGGAACTGGGCGACCACTGTAGCCTGAGTTGATGCCCTCTGAACATTGAAAGAGTTCGAAATTATTGAACACATGATGGTATTCTGACTGATTACTAGGGCACACAGATCTCTGGACGAGTTGCCAAAATGGCCGATAAATACTGACATGAAACCTGAGGAACTCTAGAGTCATAACGAAAGATACTAAAGTCTAGAGTCATGCCTGAATATACTGATCTCTAAAGTCAAGTCTGAATGCACTGATTTCTAGAGTTATATCGGAACTCTAAAGTCTGAGTCTGAATTGAGCATCTTAATTTAAGTCTGATTACTGATTTCTGAGCATAGACAAAGTAATATGTTTATAACTGAAAAACTGAATCAGCACTTACCTGGAGTCGGCGAGGCGTGAGCGTGACGGTTCAGGTTTTTATGAAAATTTTTTACTGAAAAGCTTTTCAGAGACGCAAAAACGTGCGCTCTGATACCAAGTTGTAACGCCCCAACTTTCTATTACACCAGAGTACGCGATTTTTCGCAAATTTTCTGAATAAATAAATAAATAAACTAACTTCTTAATTTGCGAAACTGATTCGGGGGCTACCGTGAAAAACTTGATTTCTGAAAACCGTTAAAGTTGAAACTGATACATAAAAACGGTCATAATGTCTTATCCGACTAACGTCGGAGCAAAGTCTGATAAAAAGAGTACTTAGAAATTTTAGCGGAAGTCTAGCGTGGCAAAATATATAAAGGTCTGATAATAAGTACTGAAAAGTTTTAGCGTGGTTCAACATGGAATAGGGTTGCAGAGCCTCCGATTCTCTTGTTGAGAGCCTCCGATTCTCTCGTTGAGAGCCTTTGATTTGATTCCTTGTTGTCTGGATCGATTGTTGCGAGTTGTTATTGTGGACGTTCTTGTTTCTGGTGTTAGTCTCACTGTTTTGTTGCTCAGGTTATTCTCGGCATCTTCGGTATTTGGGGATTAGGGTTTCAGAATGGAAGATAATATCAAATTCAACCCAGATGATGATCTATCCTCTCGCCTGGGTTATTTTTCTTTATCAGAAAGAGAAGTCAATGTAGTCGATATAGCTCAGAGAGACATTAAAATGAGTGACGATGAATGTCAAAGGAGTCTGTTTGGCAAGGTAGTTGGCGATAGAATTGCGGGGTGGTTCGGAGTGAAAAGGGCGATGTCTCAAATTTGGAGGCTTAGCAAACCTATGGAGGTCAAAGAGCTTAGCCCCACTTTTTTTCAGTTTATCTTTCAGAGTCGAGAAGACAAGGATAGGGTTGCAGGAGGATCCAATTGGAGCTTCGAAAATCAATACCTGATACTCAGTGAATGGGCAAGGGGCATCAACACCAACCATCCTTGCTTTAAAGAAATCAAGCTCTGGGCTCAGGTTACCAACCTTCCATTAAATTGGTTAAGCACAGAGGTGGGTCTTAAGATTGGTACCGTGTTTGAGGAGGTTAGTAATGTAGTCATAGCAAATACAGGCAGCCATGGAAGTAAATTCTTAAGGCTTTTGGTTACTCTTAATTTGGATGAGCCTGTTCCTAGAATTGCAAACATCAGGTTGGGGGAAGATGTGGTCAGTGTCGGATTCAAGTATGAGAAACTCATGAGCCTCTGTCATTACTGTGGAAAAATTGGCCATCTAGACAGAACGTGTCAGATCAGAATTCAAGACATTAAATCCAAACAGCTCAGGGAGGGACAATATGGAGACTGGCTGAGGGCAACTGAAGGATTGAGATGGGGAGGTTCTACATCTGGGAATAGAAACTCACCTCCTCCTAATTCCCCATCAACAGCTGAACAAGGGACATCTCACAGAGCTTCTACCAGCCAAACTGGAAATAGCAATCAGCTAATACCTGCTCCTGAATCTTCTCAACTCCCAGAAGAACAAATAGAGGAAGTTGCTGACGTCATTCCATCTTCAAGGCAATTAGATTCTACACAATCCTTTTCTTCATCTAACAGAGCTGCAAAAGAGACTAGGACCCTGGTTATTTCAGAACCGGCTAGCAAGAAAATTCTGACTATGATGGATGTGAAAGAGCAAGCTATCACAGACAAGGTGACCTTTTCTCTGTGCCATGGAGCAGTTGCTAAATCCTTATGGGCTCCCCTTAAGACTTGGAAAAGAATGGGGACCAAATCAGGAAGACTTCAGAGAGAGCAAGATACTCCAATAGAGATTGATAGCATCTCTGGCACCAAGAGGACTTCCTCTGAAACTGATCTTCTAATGTCAGGCAAAGACTCTAAAATCCAGAAGCAAGGTGATATCTTAAATAAAGTTTCTAATTCTGAAAAGGTGGGGGTTGCCAGCCTAGAATGGCACCCAACTGATCAATGTTAGCTATGGTGTGGAATTGTAGAGGGCTGGGTGGGCCTTCTACAATTTCCCAAATCAGAGAGTTATTGACAACTCACCACCCATATTTTCCTTTTCTGTCAGAAACCAAAAAGTCCAAAGCTTTTGTAAATACAGTTAGTAAGAAGCTGGGTTTTGAGGACAGGTTCACAACTGTGGACCCTTCAGGGCTCAGTGGGGGTTTAGCTCTTTTTTTGGAAACCTCATGTTGTTATTTTGCAAATTCATCCTAAAGACTTCTATTTGGCAGTGGAATTCTGTCTCCCTCAAGGAGACCCCCAATGGGGAATTTTTGTCTATTTTAACCCAGTCAGAAGTATCAGAACATCTCAGTGGGAAGTGTTGACTGCAGATAGAGACTCCTGGGGTAACATGTGGTTTGCAGTCGGAGATTGGAATGATATTCTTCATTCATTTGAAAAGGCTAGAGGTATTCCAAGGAACTCAACTTCTTTATCAGGGTTCACTAGTTTTGTTAACAGAATGGAAATGGAGGAAATCAGAATGGAGGGGCCATTATTTACTTGGTGCAATAACAGAGCTTACCCAGATTTGGTGGAGGAGAAGTTAGATAGAGCCTTTGGGTCTTTGGACTGGAATCTGCTTCACCCCAATGCAGTTACTATCAACAAAATTAGGAGTGCATCTGACCACACAGCTCTTCTCCTGAACCAGGGCAAACCAGAAAGGAAAAGAAAAACCATGTTCCACTTTGATAAGAGATGGCTTCTGATGGAAGGTTGTGCTGAAGTGGTTAAACAGGTCTGGCTCACTGAGGTTGAAGGTACTCCTTTCTTTCAGCTTAAAGAAAAAATCAAACTGACTAGAATTGCTCTTCTCAAATGGAGTTCCAGCTTTCACACTAAGAGGCAAGGAGACATAGCTGCTCTCACTAAGAAGCTTGAAAGTCTAAACTCAGATAAAGCTACCATAGACTGGGAGGAATGGGAGGTTACAAGAAGGAACCTTAACTTGGCACATAAGCAAGAAGAAATATACTGGCAGCAAAAAGCCAAGTCCAAATGTCTTAAAGAGGGGGATGCTAATACAAGGTTTTTCCATGCTCTTACACTCCATAGAAGAAGGAATAATGCCATTACCAGGTTGTTTTCCTCACAAGGAACTGTGCTAACCAGTCAAGAAGGCATATAAAGGCATGTGGCTGAGTTCTATCATACTCTCTTCACTACTGAGGGCAGTTTGGGTGGTGACAATATCTTGCAGCTAATACCCACCTCCATAACTGAAGACATGAACAAAGACTTACTCAAACCAGTGGAGGAAGATGAAGTGAAACAATCTCTATTTAGCTTGCATCCTGATAAATCTCCTAGAGAGGATGGCATGACAGCAGCATTTTACCAGCACTTTCGGAGCACTATTAAAAAAGATATTATGGCTGCAGTCCTCAGTTTCTTTCAGACAGGTAATATTCTCAAATACTGGAATCACTCCATTATCTCTCTGATTCCTAAAGTTTCAAATCCTGACTCTATGGGGCACTTCAGACCTATAAGCTTATGCAGTGTGGTTTACAAGATAATTTCAAAAATTCTGGCTGTTAGGCTTAAAGGTTGCTTATCTCAATGTATCAGTCCCTTTCAAGCTGCTTTTGTGGAGGATAGGCAGTTGATTGATAATGTCATAATTGGTCAGGAAGCTTTCCATTTTTTAAATAGGCACTCCTCTGGTCCTAACTTCTTTATGGCTCTTAAACTGGACTTAATTAAGGCCTTTGATAGAGTGGAATGGATGTGTCTGAAAAAGATTATGTTGCAGATGGGTTTTCACCTGGACTTTGTGAAGCTTATTCTTTTCTGTGTTTCCTCAGCCTCTTTCTCTTTTAAAATCAATGGCACCCTCAGTGGGTATGTGACACCATCCAGGGGAATAAGGCAGGGGGACCCTTTTGTAATGCCCCGTTTATTTATTGATATTTTTGGGATTATTAATTATATTATTATTATTATTATTATTATTATTATTATTATTATTATTATTATTATTATTATTGTCTAATTGATTTTATGTGTTTAATGTGTATTATAAATAAATATTATTATATGTATTATATATATAAATATTTCGGTTTTATTTTAGTTATCGATGGAGCCGAATATAATTGTTCGTTCGATTTAATTTTTATTAAGTCGATCGAATGTCGGTAAATATTAAACCGAAATATGCTTGATAAATATTATCTCGTGAACCGTTTAATCCGTTGTGTTGATTCGACACTTAACCGATTTATGTTGGATCCGAGCCTTATTAATTTTTGTAAACCAGCCTTTATAACCGTGAACTCGCGCCTAGTCCAAGACCCGGCCCAAATAGTTTGCAATTTTGGCCTAATGATTAAGACCCTAATTTTTATTCTATGTTGATTAAGCCCTAAACTCAACCCTAGTCTTATTAATCTCTCTCTCTCTCGTGATCTCATCGTCTCACCCGCAGCTTTTAGAAATCT